TGGCTAGCACTCTCTCCTTCTCGACTGTTACCTAAGCCAGAGTGTCTCAGCCTTAATACTATTGTCATTTTGGACCAGAAAACTTTACGTGTGTATGTGGGGGAGGGGCAGACTGTCCTGTGTGTTATGAAATGTTTGGCAGCATCTCTGGCCTCTACCCTCTGGAAATCAGTAGCAACCCCCAATTGTGAATCAGAAAAAAATATGACTAAATATTGCCAAATGTCCCCTGTGGAGTCCAAACTACCTCTGGTTGAGAACCACTGCACTAAATAAATATTATGTTTATTTTCCCTCTTCACCCAGTACAGTAGCTTCCAATAGTTTGCTTTGATTTATTTTCCAAGATGCTTGCTGGGCTTGTCTTGATTCATTCTCATGCTCTCACTAGTACCATGGGAAAGAATTCAAGGGTAGTTTAGTTCTTCATTCTGGAGCCAACCTATCCCCACCGGGCTTGACCCAATTACTTTGGCCTCATTAGCATAACAAGATTTCACAGGATTTTTAAACTGTCACTATTGCAGACCACAAAGAAAAAGACTAATAAACATTCCAATAGTTAAAGGCAGAACATGTGGTCAAAATGTTATTATGTGGTATTAAAAATATAGCTGAAAATAACAGAAGATATGTTAAGTTTTTCACTGAAATCATATGGGAAAATATTGCTTAAAAACATTAAGACATTTCTTTCCTTTACCCCATCAACCACATAGTTATTTCCAGCAAACCTTGACTCTGACAATGACTATACAAAGAAAATTGTCAAAATCTGGAAGTTTTCTTTTTTTTTTCTCATAATGGGATATTGTAGAAAAAGAACATTAGGGATTACATTCCTAATCCATTCCCCAACCTAAATGGTGTGAGATGGGACTGCATAATGTATCTACTTTCATGCAGTCTATTTTAAGCACCCAAGTTTGATGATAAAGAAGTTAATGTGGTTTCCAGTAGTGTCTAACTTACCCTCAGGGAGTAGCTCATGCTGGGAGAACCTGGCTCATTATGGATTATTTTGTAGCATCAGTCATGCTATGAGATGACGAGGCTTTATAAGACAAATATTATGGATCAATCTTCAGAGGCCAGCACTACATGCAGCCAAAAATCCGCATTGGCAGAACAAAACTGAAAGCCCTTAATGAATTCTGTTACCGTGGCAGCATACTGTCAAATTATGCACTAATAGCAAAAGAGCTAGAAAACCATACCAAGAAACCAGCATGCCTGTTGGCAAGCTAGAAACCAGAGTCTGGTGCTGAGCTTCCAAACATTCTAAGGGAGAGAATTAACATCAACGTAAGCCAAAATCTCTGTGCAAGCTCTCTGGGCTTTTGGGTGTGAATCCCAGAGAAGCTACATGAATATGAGATGCTTTTTTTTCTTTTCTTTTTACCTTTCTATTTTCTATTTTTTCTTCCAAATGTAATTAGATGGTCACTGATTGAACACTAAAAGGCTTGCCAAAAGGGTAAGGACTGTAACTGGGACCACAGTCACATTTCAGGGAACAGCTCTCCTTTATGAGTCAATTGCTATATTGCATCAACCTCTGTAATTTAAGATGTGGCAGAATTTTAAGGCAATTAGCATAAGAGTGACTAGATTGCTTAGGAATGAGCCTGTGTTTTATGTTTTTTGCCTTTGGAAGATAACTGTATAAAAATCATTCTCAGATTGAATCATGTGGATATTGCAAGTTACCTAAAATATCAGAAAATCATAGTTTTAAATTATATACACACACACACATATATAAAGCACCTGGGAGAATGAAGATGTACAACTTGTCTATAAATTTTCATTTATTTGTAGTAGTTTTCTCTTAAGCATTGTTGCTTCGGGGCTGTATTTCCCAACCAGTCAGTTGCCTAATACTTTGGCATATACATTGCAAACTTTACCTGTAACACTGTTTCTTCCTAACTTTCCTTAATTGTCACTCAAATCCTGTACATTATTTCTTTCCTTGCATTTCCCTTTTCTTTCCCAGGAAACTTACAGCTTCCCATGTCTTTTCTCCCATTGTTTTTTGACATGAATAGAAAGAGTGTGGAAATAGTGAAGTGGATTTCAGACTCTGCTTCCTGGAAACCTAGAGGTTTTTTGAAGGTGGCTTCTGAGCCACAGGTGAGGTGGAGATACAAGGAAAGGACAGGGCAGGGCTCTGGGACCCCCATTCCAACTTCCATAACAGCAATTTGCAAATAAGATTCCATTTAAAGAAAGGATTTCCATAACTCCAAATAGCTCAACAAGAACAGGACACACAATGCTATCAGTTAGAGTGTGCCTACATGGGACATTTGCTTAAAGGAAAAGCAATCATACTGAAAAACAGAAGTAGGAATGAGGAAGAACTTCACTGTGATTGTTTTATCTCATGATTACTCTTCCTTTAACCACCTTAAGTACAAGCTAAATCTGAAAATCAGGAACTACTCATTTCCTCCCATTCAATAGTAGCTTCTACTCTCCAAATACCTAAATCTAGCAAGATTTAACACCTCTGCTTACTTAACAGGAGCAAAGCATGTAGTGGTACTAGAGGATTTCTACTGAACAGGAAGATTTTTTAAGAAGCAGGAAAACACTAAAGATGTAATTATGTAGTGAAGCTAAGAAACTAAAAATTATCTAAAATGCCATCTCTATTGTCCCAAAGATAGATTTTATATCTTAATAATTTCTGTGGTTAGAAATTAAAGAAGGAAATGAAATAATGTGTCTTTTAATAGGAAAGATATCTTGAATTGCTATAGCTCCATTCTTACTTTAAAATTATATTTTATTTGTATGTATTATGGAAAGTTTGGTACTTGTACCCAAGGCTGAAGAAGTGAGAACAAAGACCCAGGACAAGTGGTTTGAGGAAAAGGAAAGAGAAGTTTATTAATTTGCTGGCAAATAGGGAGGGTGGCAGACCCGTGTCTGGGAAGACCGCTGTCCTACCTTTAAGCAGAAATACAAAGCTCTCTGAAGAGGTGTTTTCAGAGGTTAGGCTCCGGTCTATGTGACCAGTATCACATGTTGTGGCTTTGGGCTATTATTGTTTAATTGTAGTTGGTGGTTTTGGTCAACCTTATCTCCAGTGAAGATGATCTCCTGACCTCTGGACCATTCTGTTTGGGATATCTCCTGTGTAAGATACTAGAAAACAAAGAACAAAGAACATTTTTCTACCTCTTTGATTACTAGCCTCTGACAGGAATGCAGGTTTTAATTCCCAAAAAAGGGTTGGGGGAGAAAAATCGTAAAACATTTTACCCTTTTCCAGACCTTCACCTCTGCTACATATGTATTATAAGATAAAAAATTAATTTCAAAATTAAAATAAATTATAATGGTACATTTTAAAGATTTGTCCTACATTAATAAAAATGAAGTTTGGGATTTATAGGAAGTGGTATCAAAATTCTAACACTTCTTAGCAACAAGGTTAAAGAGCAAAAGTTGTTGATTATTCATTATTTTTATTCTAGTTTTCTAAGTTTAGCCTCAAATTAATTGCCCTTAAATAACTTTTTGGATAAGAAATTTGATGATAAACCACCTAAGTTATCATTTACCTTAATATTTCTTTCTTGAGTGAATAACTGTTACTACTCTAAAATCTTTTTTTCCCTATAAAATGAAAGACTATTTCTTAAGTTTATTATAGAAATTTTAAAACATTTTCTTTACTTTTAAAAAATATTGTTTTCTTCAAATCCAAGTTGTATGATTTTTCTAAAAAAAATAGCATATATAGGTTAGAAATACATAAAGAAATATTTTAGGTTACACTATGTCAGCAGATTTTGATTCCTCAAAAAAATTGGCTTGTTAAACACAATAACATGCTTCCAATTTTGTATTAAATGCTACCTTTTCTACTGTATAGAGTAGAAAATGTTTTGGCGTGATGTACCTTTTAAAACAGTCATTGAGCAGATTTCAGAGAAAAGATTTCAGTAGTTGCCTTGTGCTTCCAACATTAGCTGGAAGAAAAAAAAAATAAAATGGATAAAGAGATAAAATGAAAATACATAATTACAATCAAATAATATTTAAATCCAAATCAAGTTTCATTATAATTAAAGTATAGTTTTAGATATTTTCATAAAAATAAAACATTGTATCTTTTAAATATAAAAATGTATTTGTCTTATTAAAACATAGTTTTAGATGATTTTATTTGATTGTGGAGTCTAATTCAAACCATGTTGTTTCTTTGTGTGTTTGGTATATTCCAGCCATGGAAAGTAAAACTAGCATTTAGGAAATAATTCAAGAAAAAGACTCTTTCAATAATATTTGCCCCAGTGAGCTGAGTAATTCTTGTAAATTGGTCTTTTGGCCTGAGTGATTTAGATAATTACTTAAGTTCTCTATTTCAGGTTGAATATTCAGATACTACTCAACATCAAACACATGATAAATGATTTATTTTATGTTTCCTGAGAAAATTGATCAAATATTGAGTGAAATATTATATTCGACCTGTATATTGCATCATATATTCTCTAATTATTCTAAAATACTGTCTCTAATTTCATTAGGTCTTTTTTCTATTTGTTATTTTTAAATTTGTTTGATGGATTAAGAAAGATTTGTTGAATCAAAGAGAATTTTGGATAAACATTAAAGCATAAGCCTTTAATCAGGATGAAATTAAAACTATTTTTTATTCACTCAATATAAACCAATGATCAGACTACCTACAACCATCATGGGGATGAAATGAATGTATTTTTTACTTCAACTGGGATGTTTTTGGTTTTTTTGTAATTTAAATTTTCTTTTTCATTCTCAATATTTTTAGCTTATGGTGTACATTGAGAAATAATTTTCACTTGCCTTGTAGTTTTTAATTTATGAAGATACACTAAAACCAGGATAATGTAGTTGTAATATTTCTTATTTATGAACATAAGAGTCTTATTAGCTATTGCAATTTAGACTTTATTGTATTTCAAATTAACATATTCATGTTTTTGTGACTTTTTTAACAGGCAATAACTTCAAGCTCTTGTGGCGGATGTAGATTTTTGCTGCAAAGAAATAACAGTAAGTGTTTATATATAGGCAATAAGTTGTTTTTTTTTTTTAAACTACATCTCAATATTTGGAATTCCATTATCACTTAAATGCATGCAAAAAGTTAATATGATTACTTAAATTTTATAATTTTGATAAAATTTATTTACTCTAATGATAGTTATCATAGGATTCTAAGATTAAAGCCAAGTCATTTTAATAATGAAGAAAAATAAATTCATGGCTGAGACTTTCTATTTTGTCCTTTGTTTTAATGTTAGTTTTGCTATATAAATTTCACTGATGTATTTATATTGATTTTTCTCTTTGAATAGCTAATTTACACAGATTTTTAGTTTTCTGTGGGTATTATTTGACAATTAATTTTCAGATTTTGGATTGGAAACACTTATTTTGCATGACTGCTTCTTTGGGAGCAATTCAAATCTTTGTAATTTTGCATGTTAAATTGTTTTCCTGCAAATATAAGTCATTAACTCTTAAGCTAATTTCACAAAGGGTTACAGAGGGGCGTCTTTTTCCCAATTCGAGTTAAAATGGTAAAGTGGGATGGATCAGTGTCTCAGTTTTTCTAAAATGTAATTTTCATAACGGTTTAAATCTATGTTTATTTCAAATGTGAACATAAGTAACTTTTGTTTTACCTACTATCCTAGGTTATTTTTGTCAGTACTTTACATTAATTAAATTACTTGGGAATTATCTGTACTCCAAATTGAATAGGGAAATATCACCATGCTGCAGGCTCTTTGCTCATCCAGGAATTAAGCAATTTAAGATATGAGGTTTTAAATGGAAACTCTATGTGTAAGGAGAAGACATAATTCACTTTCATGTGTACCTGTCTTTACTGAAGTTTCTAGGGGAACAAACATGCTCTCCAAATTCCAAATTCTTGATTTTCTAAGTAATTTGGATTCCTGGTGTCTTATCTATCTGTTCAGATAGATTTCTGATGGATTGTTCAATCTGGGCTATGTTCTGGCTTCTGTTCCTGACTGATAACATTTCCTGGGTGTCCTCCTGACTCAACTGTTTGGCAATACATCTATCTAGTGATCGGTAATTTGATGTGGCATCCCCAGGCAATGACACTGTCTTTCATGAGCACAATACATTAAATATTAGTATTTCATAGAATAGATAATGATTATACTTGTAAAATGCTTACATGGCTCATTCAGAGGTATGGTGTATTAGAAAAGAAATTACTTTTTACTTTGCAGATTCTCACTTGCAATTTTATTAACATAGTTGTAGATAAAGGCTTTGGTGAATAAACTTCTTAGAGTTTTTTAGACAATATTAACTGGTATTAGGTTTGTGATAGCCTAAACATGATATAAAATTATTGGCGAAATATCTCAAATTACTTTTCTGTCTTTTTGTGGGTAAGGAAGAAAAAAGGGGCATAGAAAATGCCCTTATAAAAGAGAAGTGTGAAGCCATTCATTTCTTTATAACCAAGTAGAGATCACCAGTAGTAGGACTGGCACATTTTGTAATAAGATGATAACTCATTTAATCCTTTTCCTTAGTAAGATGTTTCCAGCATGCTTTTATCTTTAAATCGTGTGTGTGTGTATACACACATATATAAGCAAAATCATATTTTCATAGGACCCCCAAATGGGAAGCTTTGAAGATACATACAGAATTTTATTTATCTTTGGATTATTCTAATTTTCATTTTATCTCTAAATCCTCAGTCTCAATTTGTTTTTATTCTGTCATTAATTCATGAATTTAACAACATTGAAGTAGCTAGGGACATGGTCTCAGACACCAGAAATAGAGGGAGGAAAGATTAAATTCCTGTTTTCTCATTGTCTACAGGCTGTTGGAGAAGATGCCAACATTTAACTACAATTTCAGTTCATTGTGTTGGGAGTGGGGATAGAAGTAATACAGTGCCAAGGAAGTAGACAAATGGGTACCCAGTTTATTCTTATCCTTCAGGGCTAAAGCAATGTTTTCTGGAGAAGGTGTTTCTTGAACTACCATAGGTGTATATAACTGAAGTGGAGGCCAGGTGTGAGGGGCAAGGATTGGGAAGAAGAGTCTGAGCAATCATTCCAGGTTCTATAGAAAGAGAAAGATATATATTATATCTAGTATGTAGCAAGATCAAGATGACAGGAGAGCATTACATGCTCAGGGAGCACAGAATAAATGTTGCAGAGTGGCAGGAAATGAAAGAACTAGAGCATAAAATTACATCGGCAACTGTGCTGAGGAGTTTGCATTTTATTTCATTTTTTTTCTCTCAGAAAACAAAAAGCAGCCCTAGTGGATTTGATAACAGTAAGGGGCATTGGAATTGCATTTGGGAAATACCAGATGAGCAGCAGTTTTGAAGATAGCATCGGGGAAGGTGGAGAAGGAGTAGCAGAAATGGAGCTAGGAACTGTAGTGGTAGTTCCTAGAGATAAGTGATGATAGACAGATCACAGGGAGTGAGTGTGAGGTAGAGGAGAAAGGCTTGAAAACTCTGGCTTTGAACCATGGAGACCACATTATTTCTTTGAGTTATCTTTCCTGTTTGAAGAAGCAAAACTACGGTATAGGTATTGATTGGAAGGCCCCTAAAAATAAGAGTGGGTTGAGGAAGAAAAGAGGCTAATTTTTAAATAAATAGTTGCAAGAGCAGAAAGATTTAATTCAATTTAGGGTACTAGACTCTTTCTTTTATTACCTGGAGGTACCAGGAGTGATTATGGAGCCTAGTTCTCACCCAGGCAGAACCAGTTGGCTATAATAGCTGCATCCATTTGTTGTGTCTCCCAAACATTGTCCAATATAGTAGCCATTAGCCTCATGTGACTATTAAAATTAATTTAAATGAAATAAATTTAGAAATTTAGTTCCCCAGGTGTACTTGCCACGTTTCAAATGCTCAGTAGCAAAATGTGGTGAGTGGCTACCTGTTTGGCCAGCACAGATATTGCCAAAAGTCATGTTGGACAATGCAGTTCTAGATTTTCAGAGCACTCTTAAAACAGTACAAGTTTGAATCATAAAATTAAGTGCATAACTAAGTGTACTTTGACATTTATAATTTCCTAACACTTATAGAAGTACAGAGGCTTAACAATCATATTCTTATTCTATAATCAGCCTGGTTAATAACATCTGAATCTTAATAAAATGAGAAAATTTTAAATCCCTGAGTTCAAGGGGGATTTTTTCTTTTCCATCAGTAAGGGGCATAACTAAAAGCTACTCTGGCTCTTATAGAAGAACTGACAAAAAGAGCATGGTGATACATCAAAGGGCCCTCTGTAGGACATGCAGATTTTTTCAAAACATCTTATTTTCTTAATGCTGTTTCAGAATCACAATTTCTGTTTTTAAATTCATTCCTAAACTCATTGATGCCAGCTTTCACTAAAAGATGATAACATTTGGAATTACAGAATCATATTAGAGTGTAATTTCCAGTGCTTAATATGTAAAATATAGTTCATTACCTCTGACCCCTTGAAATGTAGGAGACAGAAAATTCCAAAATATCAGCCTTTAATAACAGCGTTGCCAAATGATGGACTATTTACTTCTGAGTAAAATGTACTTTGATTTTATAGGGAAAAATAAAGTTGTCCTCTATATTTTAATTGCACACAACCTGCGTTCTTTAAATGTGACCTGTAGGTTAAAGGATGTTTCACACCTGGTGGCATGTTCGTGATAAACAGATTATTTCATCTTCCTTTAACATTATTTGAAAGTAAGATATTCAGGGTGGAAAATCAGTTGGAAATAATATAGGACAAAAAGCGGGGCCAGCTGGAGTTAACTCATAACTCCAGCTCTGGCCCGTTCTTAACAGAACCCTACACATGATCTCATTTACTGGCTATAAGCTATCTGCATTCAGGTGTTCGTCGAACACTACACTCTTTTATATATAGCACATCATCTTTTAGAGCAAACAAGTCTGCACTGTACTCTGGTAATTAAAGAAAAGTTTACCAGTGCTCTTGTCTAATTCAATCCTCACATTTTGAATTTCAATTCTCCTCTGTCAAAGTAGGTGCACGATTGATCTCCTTGTCCATACGCTTCTCTTCTTCCTGTGTAAATTAATTGAAGACATCATTTCTATCATATCACTTTTTTTTTTTTTTTTGTTTTGCTCAAAATTCTTCAGATTTTACATTTAACCCGCCGAATAAAGTGTTGTCGTCAGCGTAACATGTTTTTAGCCTTCTAATCTGTTCTGGTCCACAATAGCTTACGCCCAATTGCTTAAATGACACTTCACCACTGTCCCAGTACTCCTCCACATGGGAAGGGCATTTGCCCTCCAACTGCCTCACCTCCGCCTTGCTCCTTTTTCTCTATCCCAAGCCTTTCGGCCTTCAAGTTACCTTTTCAGGTAGACTCAGTCTCTAGTGGTCTAAATTCCACCTAGTATTCCTCACTTTTCATGAAGTTTGTTAATTTACTACATCTATATGCTCCCTTGTGACCATTCTTGAAATGAAATTTAATTAATGATAAAGACTTATTTAAAACTGTTAGATGTGTCCCTCTTAGCTCCCTTGAGGGCAATTGTCATATAATACATTTATAAGATTATATTGGTGAGAGTGCACTGTAAGTATTTGTTGATTGAGAATTCAAAGAATAGGGACCTTAACCTGCTCTCTGACTCATATTGACCTTAGACATAATATGGATGAAATTTGCAAAATATATTGTCCTTTTTTATTGTGTTCAAGAATGCAGGGACAACGGATTTTCTTCTTTGAATCTTCAAGGTCTCTAAGATGCCTAATCATTGCTACTCTATATACAGAGTATATCTGATATATAGAGTATATCAGATACACATAAGTATATCTGATATATAGAGTATATCAGATATACAGAATATATCTGAAGATCAGTCTATTTCTAAAATAACATTAATGTATTCATGCAGTTACCTTTGAAAACAATATGAGTTTTAACTTGTCTGCCTATAAATATTATATCATCTGAAGTAACTAATGTAATTATTTCTGTGTTAATTATAAAACATATTTCATCCAGTAGGAATAAAAACAAAATACTTTATTTACTTTTTTTAATCTTGATTTTTTAATA